AGAGATTTTATGAAAATTTAAAGAAGAGGCTGATAAATATTTGTTCAGGGCTGTACTGCTCCTCTATCTCCAAGTTCAAAGCTCAAAATGAGTCAAGGCAGAGGTCCCATCAAGGCCTTTGTCATTGAAGTGGGCATTATATTCCCTTATAGTTGTCTCCTTGTACTTTGGAGGGTTGTCTTCTGAAAATAGTTCTTTGATAGGTCCATAGAGTTTCCCAATGGTTGCATACCTGTGGTAAAGAAACTTGCAACCGATACTCTTGGACCTAAACTCTCTTGGGAGCGACCAATGAGAAGATCACACGTGGAAAATAAGATGCAATCGGTAGGGTAGTGTTCGGCACCCCTTACTACCGAACGCAACACAAGACCTCTTACCCATCCTTTCTTGCTAGGACACGTGGAGCCACCAGATGCAATATCAACAGTCCCACATCGAAGTTTCACTCATGCACACCTCCCAAGATTTATAAAAGTGGGCACAAGTCCCAAAAAGGAGGTAACTGAGACTTTCGGCAAATCAGTCATTAGTCTGTCCAGATTACTACACACTCCGTACTTATTCTTACTTTAGCATCGGAGATCCTTCGGCCGGTACCACACCGGTGCTCAAGGGCGTACCGAGCATTTTCTATCTTGCAAATCAATCGCTCTACCGAAGCCGAGAAGGTGCCGAAGATCAAAATATCACTAAGTTGGGCTCAAAAGTACTGAACAATTTTTGAGCATTAACATCTGTCATACTTGGTTGGAATCTCATTTGGATTGGTAGCTACCATTTTTGTTGCTAGTAAAACTTAAATTTTATAGTGGATATCAGACTAATACATATGATTCAGATCATAAGTGTATATTTTTGCAAAGAATATAACTTTGCAATGAGCACAAGACATAAAAGAGAAGTCCAAATATTCCCAATACACTTTTGCAATGAGCAGCCAAGACAAATATCTACGATAATTACTTTGACATATGTCCTGCATCAGGCATGTACAAACAATCCACTTTTGTTGGCAAACATGATTTAACAACTGCATGAACATTATTACCTAAGCACAAAAGAGAGATTTTATGAAAATTTAAAGAAGAGGCTGATAAATATTTGTCCAGGGCTGTACTGCTCCTCTATCTCCAAGTTCAAAGCTCAAAATGAGTCAAGGCAGAGGTCCCATCAAGGCCTTTGTCATTGAAGTGGGCATTATATTCCCTTATAGTTGTCTCCCTGTACTTTGGAGGGTTGTCTTCTGACAATAGTTCTTTGATAGGTCCATAGAGTCTCCCCAATGGTTGCATACCTGTGGTAAAGAAACTTGCAACCGATACTCTTGGACCTACATGGTTCGCCAGTACCCTGTGCTGTACACTCTTGAATCTTTCATTTGATATAAGCTGCAACCCCAAAAGAACTCAACCATTGAAAAAAAATTAAAAATAAGTATAAAAAAACCCAAATGAGGAAACCAGATGGAAGAATTTGAGACATATTCTAGTACAATAATAGTATATACTACTACAGCCAAATAACATCTCCCTTTCAATTAAAGAAAAAAAAAATGAAGAAGAAGAAGAGTAGCTGTACTTGCCTGTAGAAGATCTCCAATGTTAACTACTAGAGCCCCAGGAACAGGAGGTACATCAATCCACTTGTTCTGATGAAGAACTTGGAGACCGCCAATATGATCTTGCAGAAGGACTGTGATAAAGTCACTGTCAGCGTGCTTGCTTGTCCCCAGAGTTAACTCTGGCTGTGGACATGAGGGATAGTAATGGCCTACAAGCACAAGCCCTAAACTACAATCTATGTCATTCATGTGACTTGGCTTTAGCCCAAGAGCCTCCGACAGCAACTCGAACAACAGCTTCCCCAGTTTCATTACTTGCTTGGAGTACTCAATAAGTATGTCTCTACAAATGTTGAAACACAGAAAAGTACATGAAGTTGTCATATATATATGATTCAATTAAAAATGGTAGAGCCGGGCATTTAACCAAAATGGTGAGCTGAACGGCTTTTGATTTATGTTCAGAAAAGGCAAATGGCCTAATGTCAGATGTCACCTACTTACTCATGTATAAACCTTGGATTAAGCTCATTCTTATTTAAAATATGGGATTCTTGTTTGGGACATTCTACCGCTCAAGGACACGATACAGCTTCGTCACAGGCCATAACAGATAATTAAGGAACTTGGCCTGCTCTAATACCACTTGTCATGGGCTAGCTAGGTGCTTGCCACTCAGCACAATTGTTTGGTGATGCTGTCTACCCATATATATAAAACCCAGATGGGTGATTCGTATCCGAAGTGAGATCAATGTACATCAAACTTATCATTAAGGTGGACAAATCATATCATCTAATTAACTCATCAAGAAGGTTGGAATCTGAATCAAATTAATTAATACCATCATAAACTTTCTAATGATAGCAGAGAATTAAAAGTTTCCTTGTCACATACCTGAATACTTCTGGCATGTCTTCTGGCTTAGTAGGATTAGGAGCCATGTAGCACATAAAAGTATCCCTCCAATTAGACGCTGGTGCTCTGTGTAGATCAAAGTTGCTATTGTAGACCACAGGTTTGAAGTGATCACGAGTGTAAAACTGTTTCTTCACTTGAGTGTCTTGCTCATGAAACCCACGTACTCCATCCTTTATCTCCTCCAAAACATCAATAGGTATTCCGTGATTCGCAATTTGAAAAAATCCCCAAGTCTCTGATGCCTCTCCAACTTTTGTAACAATCTCCTTGCGTTTCGTTGGTCTATCGAACTCAAGGCCTTCAAGGTCTATGACTGGAACGCTAAACTGGGTGGCTTCTGAATCAAAGTTGTTGTTGATGGAGTACTGATCTGGTGGCTGATGAAAAATTGTAGGAACCACAGTTATCCCAGCATCAACAAGGCCTTTAACACCTTCCTTGGTGTCATCAAAAGCTTTCAGTTCACTTTTTCTGTCATAATTGGTTGGAACCTCATTTGAATTGGTACCTACCATCTTGGTTACTGCTAAATCTTAATGTTTAGTGGATATCAGATCAGAAGTGTATCTTTTAGCAAAGAAGATCACTTTGCAATGAGTGAAGTGGGAAGAAAACAATATTTTTGCAAAGACCATAGGCCAAGGATGATGCCAAAGTACTTTATAATATATTAGCAGAGTTGACCGAAAAAAACATATTGGCAGAGTTGTGGTTTTCACATTAATATATTCATTTTGGATTAACAATTCAGAGTACAGATAGATAATATTATAAAATTCAACTTTGGTAAACGGAAATATGATGTTTATTACAAAATTTTAATAACAGGTCCATGTTTGATCCTAATAACTTCAATACTTCGGGCTCGTTTGGTACGGGGGATTGTCATGGACTGGACTAAATTTTGATATTGTCTTAGATTGGCTTGGCATGGTCTAATTGAAAGAGAAGGAAAGTTGTTTGGCTAAGGATTGATTCAATTAATGGGTTTGGGTTAGTGGCTGTTGGAGAGAGGGAAGGGATGTAGTGGGCGGGGTCAGTGGCTGTCAAATAGAGAAGATGAGAGAAAGGCAAAGCAGCTCCAGACCCAGCTTTCTCATACTTCTCGAAAGCTACGAAGGGGAGGGGTATTTGGGTTTGTTTGGGATGAGGGAGGAACAATTTTATTTTATTTTATGAGGTTGCTGCGATGGTGGATTGAGGTTGCTGTGATGGTGGGGGGTTTGGATCGGTTGCAGGTGCTTGGGTGATCGGTGGTTGTGGATGGCGCTTGGATAGTCAGTGGTTGCAGGCGCTTGGGTCGGGACTATGTGTCCTCCCATTCAACGGGGGTCTCATTAAGAACACCTAAGAAGGTGTTTTTGGTGGGGCCAGTATTAACAGTCCCACTTAAAACTAGAACCAAGTGTAAACAAACATGCGATAAAAATTGGTCTAGTCCAATCCAAGCCAAGAAGGTGTAACAAACGAGCTCCGAAGTTTCCATAGTAGTAAAGCACTTGTATTCGTATATTATAAAGGGAGATTCACTGTTATACCTAATATAAGAGCCCAAACTATAAATAAATAAATAAATAAAAATTATATAAAATGGACTTTAGAAACACATTCAAAGCCCATTTACAACATAACAAAAAAGCTTTTAACTTCGGATTTTTATCACAAAACGTCACTGACGTTTGCGAAACTATCAGATTGCATTCTTAAAGTTTTTTTGTATCACCCATGGTCCCTAACGTTAATATAAGTGCTCTTAAATAGTGCCTATGTCAAAAAAACTGTTAAATCCAGGGATATAGGTGCCTGATTTCTTAAAACAAACCCAACTCAAAAACCTCATAAAAAAATTCAAAACATTGAATAGGGCATCAAAGTAATTTAATAATCAAAATTAAATTCAATAGGGCCAACTTTCATTTTTTGGGTTTTTTTTGGGTTTATTTATATAAATTAAATGGTGTAAGGTTTATTTATAGTTTTAGTGTTAAGAATGAGTATATGAAATATCTATAATATAACAGGTATAGACAAATAATGCTCAGAATTCTGCTTGTGTTAAAGTAAAAAAATTATGCTTTTGTTGGCAAGCATGATTTTGCAGCGTTTATTGGAAAGCCATAATATTTCACAACAGATTATAAACAACCAATGTACTATAACCATACATTTGACTATATGTCCTGCATCAGGCATGAACAAACAATCAACTTAGTATTGTGTATGAAGCGATATTTTCATGCCAAGTTATTTAGTAGACACCATTTGTTCATTGCAGTTGCTCCTATGCCTCCAAGTTCAGAGCTTGAAATGAGTCAAGGCAGAGGTCCCATCAAGGCCTTTATTATAGAAGTGAGCATTATAGTCCTTCACAGTTGTCTCCCTGTACTTTGGAAGGTTGTCTTCTGATAGCAACTCCTTAATGGGTCCACAGATTCGTGGCAATGCTAAAAAACCTGTGTTAAAGAAACAAGCAACAGATACTCTTGGACCGGCACGATTTGCCAATACCCTGTGTTCTACACTCCTGAATCTGTCATTTGATATAAGCTGAAAGTCCAAAAGAAGTCAATATCAGAAAACCCAAACTAGGAAACGAAATTGAAGAATTTGAGCCATATTATAATGTAATAGTACCTTTTTAATTAAAAAAGAACCCAACTGTATCTCCTACAAAGTATAAAAGAGGAATAAGAATTATAGTTATACTTGCCTGTAGAAGATCTCCAATGTTAACCACTAGAGCCCCAGGCACAGGAAGTACATCAATCCACTTGTTCTGATGAAGAACTTGAAGACCACCAATATGATCTTGCAGAACGACTGTGATAAAGTCATCGTCAGTGTGCTTGCTTGCGCCCAAAGTTAACTCTGGCTGTGGACAGGGGGGATAGTAATGGCCTAGAATCTGAAGCCCTAAACTACAATCCATGTCATTCAAGTGACTTGGCTTCAGCCCAAGCGCCTCAGACAGCAACTCGAACAACAACTTCCCCAACTTCATTACTTGCTTGGAGTACTCAACAAGTATGTCTCTACAAAATTGAAACCCAGAAAAACTAAGGCTCCTTTTGGAAGGAGGGATTTGAAAGAAGGGATTTAGATTTAACAAAGCTAAATTTGCTTAAAAAAACAAGAACCACATTAGATTGAATGTATTCTAAATAACTAGACATTTGAAATGACTATATGGAAGGAATCATTTGAAATCCACTTATTTTCTTCCTTTCTTTCTTGTTCAAATCTTGGCATATATGGATTGTAATAGTCTATACAAACAATTTTACCTTATAGTGTCATCAAAATTTATAGATTCGAAATCCCTCCATGGAAATGGCGCCTAATATCATATTAAACCAGAAACTTATAAGCTTCCTTTTCACATACCTGCATACTTGTGGCAAGTCTTCTGGCTTAGGAGGATTAGGAGCCATATTACACAAAAAAGTGTCCCTCCAATTAGTCGCCAGTGCACTATAAAGATCAAAGTTGCTGTTGTAGATCACAGGTCTGGAGTAATCACGAGTGTAAAGCTCCTTCTTCACCTCAGTGTCTTGCTCAAAAAAACCACGTACCCCATTCTTTATCTCTTCCAAAACATCAACAGGTATGCCATGATTGGCAATTTGGAAAAAGCCCCAAGTCTCTGATGCCTCTCCAACTTTGGCAACAATCTCCTTGCGTTTGGTTGGATTGTTATCATATTCAAGGCCTTCCAGGTCTATGACTGGAATTCTGGGCCGGGTTTTGGTGGGTTCTGAATCACAAGTGTTGTTGATGGGATACTGATCTACTGGGTGATGAAAAATTCTTGGAACCTTGGTTATCCCAGCATCAACAAGGCCTTTAACACCTTCCTTTGTGTCATCAAAAGTTTTTACTTCACTTTTTCTGTCATAATTTGCTATGCTTGGAACCTCGTTTGTGCCGGTGGCTACCATTTTCGTTTGTGTCTGCAGGATGGTAGAGCTAAAGCTTATCAAACTATAGATATGGATTGCCAAAGTTCAGACCATAAATGAGTGAGGTTGGAAGAAACTTCAAGCAACATATTTGCCAAGAGTCAAGACTGTGGGGCGGGTTGACGCTAAATACATTTTTGTGGTGGCCAAAGGATATACAATGCCAATTCATTATTTGGATTGGTGGCTATCACTGAAACTAGAGGTGAGAAATTTCATGATCGAAAGAAAACTAAAGGACGTCTCCTAACACATATAGCTATTTTTTTTTTAAATACAATCGATAATATGTGCATTCAATTGAGATTTTAAAAGACTATTTAAAAATAAAAAAATCCAGTGGATTTAATCATAATGTAATTACTTATAAGATTTTATTGATAATTTTGTAACAAGATTTTTACTTTTGGATTTTAAAGATTATATCATAAGATTTTATAAGATTTGAAAGGACCACATGGATTTATGTCATAGGATTTATAATTGGGTATGACTAAATAGGGTCATAGCCCAAACCAAAATTTGAAACTTTTTAAATTACCTAGCCCGACAAATATAGTGAACCCATAACAGGGGAGGCTGCTGGTTTTACCATCTTAACGCTGGCATGCTGCTCAGCTAGTAACTCCAGTCAAATAGTATAAAAGGAACTTGCTTGTGTTACTTTATGAACTGTTACTGTTATCAGATATCATGAGGTTCTATGCAAGTGGAGTTTCTGCCCTATGTTTTTTTTTTTTGTGGTAGTATTTTCTCTTCTATCCCCTACCACCTTCTTTTTCTCTTCTATCCATGTTGACCAAGGCAACAAGAACAAAAAAAAAATAAAAAAATTCTCGTTTGGTCATCTTGTGTGTGAATTTCTAGTCTTGTTCGTCTAATGGATAGTGTCATTGAATCTCAAAGCTCCAAAGAAAGTTGACATGTATAGAGTAACAATATGCTTTGGCTGAACTGTATACTATTCCTCAGGAAAAAAGGGAATAAGGAAAGAAAAGACAAAAAGTTATTTCCCTTGAAATTATCCCAAACCTCCTATGAGTAAACAACATGAATTATGGCTATATGCAGAGAAGGTGAAGTGGGTTTGCAGGTAGAGTTGCAGAGATGGCTAGTGGCAGTGAAGCTTTGGGTGTTGAAGTTGGCTTTGAGAGAAGGCAAAGTGGATGAGCACAAAAAACAATCTCACGTGAAAAAAAAAGGTCCCATGGGTTAGGGTGGGATTTGAGATAAGGATACATCTCACTAAAAAGTTTCACACAATTTCGCATTTGAAAAAATCCTTTGAAATTAACAAGTGTTTGAATACCATAAAACTTTTTGTTACTTGTTTAAAGTCTTGAACGTGAGAACATTAGTCAGCAAATCAAGGCATTTTTCTAATACTCTTTACTCTGATTAAAACAAACCCAACTCCAAAACCTCATAAAAAAACTCAAAACACTAAATAAGGCATCAAAGTAATTTAATAATCAAAATTAAATTCAATAGGGCCAACTATCTTTTTTTTTTTTGGGTTTATTTATATAAATTAAATTGTGTAAGGTTTATTATAGTTTTAGTGTTAAGAATGGGTATATGACTAAATATCTATAATATAACAGGTACAGACAAATAATGCTCAGAATTCTGCTTTTGTTATACAAAAAAAATTAAGCTTTTGTTGGCAAGCATGATTTTGCAGCGTTTATTGGAAAGCCATAATATTTCACAACAGATTATAAACAACCAATGTACTATAACCATACATTTGACTATATGTCCTGCATCAGGCATGAACAAACAATCAACTTAGTATTGTGTATGAAGCGATATTTTCATGCCAAGTTATTTAGTAGACACCATTTTCATGCCAAGTTATTTACTAAGAAAAAAAAAAAATCTTTAATCAGTAAAAGTAACCACTGCTGCTGAGAAATCCAGAGTTTCTAATACTCTTTACTCTGTCACCAAGACAGATGGCTCAAAACCGGGGCCTAGGGTTTGTGTCCAAAGACAACATGTAAATCTCACACACGAAAGTATTGGTCTATCAAGCATACCTTGCTTATCCAGAAATTTATCCTGCGATTAAATATGTCTGTTGGAACCCCAATTGCAGCTGCAAGATTCTTAGAGGTCCGGCTGAAAGTATAAGATATCAGTATGGCAAGAAAATAGGAAACAACATAAAATGCATTAAAATATTTCTGATGCTACCTTGTCTGATTTTGAAATTGCATTATAATTGCTGCATGCACTGGAGATACCACAAATTGCACTGCTCTATCTTCAAATTGCAACTCCAACTAAAACAGCACCAACCATCATAAGTATTGTTAATGTCAATTCAGTGGTTCAGGAAATATGGAAAATCGAAGCAAGTCAAAACTCTCCTAATAGAAAGGCATGAAATGACATAGTGTAAGCATCTTACCTTGACTGTACCAAGACTTTTCTTGCTAGTCAATTTAGAATGAGTCAAACATAAGTTTACTCATGCAGAGAATATATCACCAATTGACTTATAACTTCGGTGAAAGAAACAGTGGGCGAGGAAAATGCTGAAGTTAAGTGAATCAATAGAATAAGCGGGAAATGAATTAAATTAAAATGCATGCAAGAAATCATAACTAATGGGGGAGAGAATAGCCCAAAAACCAATCATCTGCAGGGAAGACGTAAAGTTTGGAAGGTACCTGCTTGAGATGTCTGAGTTATGGTTGCTTTAATATTGCCGTTAGTCCTCTTAGAATCAATAAGATCATTCAGCATAATTTCACATTTCTGCATGCTGCTCTCTTTAAAATGTATCTGAAGTATGATTACAAACTATGATGGAGCACGTGAGCGCCTTTAATAGGTGTATTGTGGACTTGCAAAGAATGGATGAAGTTTATAAGTTGATTCAATTACTCTCCTCCTCTATCTCTCATCTCCCCTCTTCCCCTGAACTCTGTTTCTTATATGGTATCAGAGCTCTTCAGAGCCAAAGCTCACGTTTTTCGATCCCACCCAATCAAATGGCAAACACACCCAAGTCTGGAGAATCAAGTCATATTGATATGACAAAACTGATTTCTGAAATGTCAAAGCTTGCCTCACCCCCATTCTCATTCCCATCCTTGCCCACCTCTTTCAACATCTCATCTCTGTTCCCAATTCCCATGGACAGAACCAACTATTTGAGTTGGAAATCATATACCATGAAGGAAGTTGAGGTTCCACCCCAAAACCAATTGGCAATGAGGGGAGTAGCCCAACTCCTTATAAACCCAGGCTAGGTCCCTTAACATTTCAATGTGGGACAAACACTCTCAACACGCCCCCGCACGTGTGGCGAACTTTCAAGCCTAACACGTGGACAACACATATTGGGTGACGTGGGAGTACGTGTGGCCGTTGGGCCCAACACGTGAAGCCTTGCTCTGATACCATGAAGGAAGTTGAGGTTCCACCCCAAAACCAATTGGCAATGAGGGGAGTAGCCCAACTCCTTATAAACCCAGGCTAGGTCCCTTAACATTTCAATGTGGGACAAACACTCTCAACAGAAGACAAGGCCATGATGTTATTAACATCTCTGCCTCCGTCTTATAAGCACTTCCGCACGATGCTTATGTTCGGCAAGGGAACCTTGAAGTATGAAGAACTGATGACAGACATCCTAACGCATCACAGAATGAAGTGGGCATTAAAGCCCCTTATAGTTGTCTCCCTGTACTTTGGAGGGTTGTCTTCTGATCATAACTCTTTGATAGGTCCATAGAGTCTCGGCGATGGTAGCATACCTGTCGTAAAGAAGCTTGTCACCGATATTATCTTGGACCGACACGGTTTGCCACTACCCTGTGCTCTACACTCTTGAATCTGCCGTTTGATACTAACTGCAAAGCAACCCCAAAAGAGCTCCAATGTTAACCCAATTTTTCATTGAATTGATGTAAAAAGAGTGTGTGTCAACTTTTAGAAAGTATAAGATAACATCTCCCTTTTGGTTAATGAAAAAAACCAACTGTGTACTTGCCTGAGCACTGGAGGCTGAGCACTTACCACTTAACCCAAAAGACTAGCCTATTAGAACAAACTCAAGTTTCCTAATCCTACTAAGCCAGAAGACATGATGTAGCACATAAAAGTGTCCCTCCAATTAGTGGCCGGTGAGCTGTATAGATCAGGATTGCTACTGTACACCAAAGGTTGGAAGTACTCACGAGTGTAAAACTGTTTCTTCACGTCAGTGTCTTGCTCAAAAAACCCACGTACCCCACCCCTTAACTCCTCCAAAAGATCAACAGGTACTCCATGATTAGCAATTTGAAAAAAGTCCGAAGTCCTGATGCCTCTCCAAGTTTTGCAACAATCTCCTTGCGTTTCGTTGGACTGTCAAACTCAAGGCCTTCAAGGTCTATGACTGGAATACTTAACTGGGTAGCTTCTGAGTCACAGTTGTTGTTGATGGAGTACTCATCCAATGGTTGATGAAAAATTCAAGGAACCTCAGTTATCCTAGCATCAACAAGACCTTTTAACACCTTCCTTGGTGTCATCAAAAGCTTTTAGTTCACTTTCTCTGTCATACTTGGTTGGAATTGTTAGACCAAGTCCTACTCTGCCTACGGTTTCAAGAGTTTGTGATCAAGTCCACTTGTTATCCACCAAGAGTTAGTTTTGGTTAAGACTCTTTTAAATATTTCATTCCGTGTAAATCTTAGTGTGCTGTTTCTGTTGTATTGTTTGAATTTCAAGTAGCCTTGTAAATAGGGATTTCAGTTCCCTGATGTAATCTTGAATGAAGTATAAATACATGCAGCCCTTACTGATTGGGTAATGCAATTCAGATCACACATCTTTTTCTAAGTTTTACATGGTATCAAAGCCCTAGTAGTCTAACGACACAGATCCAATTTTTTTTTCTCTCTGCTTCCATGGCCGACTCTAGCAACAGTGACTCCACCCACACTCTCAACACCACTCTCCCAAATTCCACCATGCACCCCTTCTCTTCCTTGACCTCAGTTGTAAACATTAAGCTGGATCGTACCAATTACCCTTTGTGGTTGGCTCAGATCTTACCTATTCTCAGGAGTCGGGACTTGATGGGTTATGTTGATGGAACCCTTGTTTGTCCTTCCCAGCAGAATTCTGGAAGTACAACTATCAATCCTGCTTACACAACCTGGGTGCAGTACGATCAACTGATACTCAGCTAGATTAATGGCTCTCTCACGCCGTCTGTGCTCTCGGTCGTGGCCAGCAAGAGGACTTCTCATGCTACCTGGGAGGCTCTCGAGCAACGTTATGCTTCTACGTCCCAGAATCGCATCTTGTTTCTGCGGAATGAACTTATACAAACCAAAAAAGGTGATTTGTCGATTGCTGATTATCTTGATAAAATGAATGCTATTTCTGATAACCTTGCCCTAGCTGGCAAACCTGTGGGTGATGATGAACTTGTCCAGATTATCTTGAACAATCTTGGACCTGCTTATGAGATGACAGTGAACGCTGCTCAGGCACGTGATACTCCCATCACGTACCCTACGCTTGAGGCGCTCTTACTGACTACAGAAAAGAGGATGACTGAGCACGCTGCTCCCCTTGTGGAGGCTACTTCTATTAATGCTTTTGTCACTACCAGAGGTCGTGGTGGACGATTTCTTGGCAACGGACGAGGAATAGTTCCAGCTGGACGTGGTGGTGCTGCTGGACGTGGTGGTGTCAATCCTCGCCCCAATCCTTATAATAACAATGTGAGACCTAATTATGCAAACAATGGTGAAAGGTTTAATGGTGCAGGTGACAGGATTACATGCCAGATTTGTGGGAAACCAGGGCATCCTGCCCTAGATTGCTACCAGCAAATGAATACTGCGTATGAAGGAAGGGTCCCAGCCAAGAAACTCACTGCCATGGCCACCTCTCCTATTACTCTTAATCGACAAACCAATGGGCAGTGGTTACTTGATACTGGTGCCAATGCACATGTCACTCCAGATCTTCAGAATTTGGTTAATCCAAATGATTATAACGGTAATGAGAATGTTGGTGGAGTAGGTAATGACTCTGGGATTTCTATTTCTCATCTTGGTTCAAATACATTACGTACTAAATCTTGCTCATTTGAATTAAAAGATATCTTAAGATGTCCCACTGCCTCCACACATATTATTTCTGCCCATAGATTTACCTTAGACAATCAGTGCTATATACTTATTTTCCCTCATTTTTTCCTTGTAAAGGACCTCAAGACCCGGAAGACGCTTTTCCACGGGAGATGTGAGAATGGCTTATATCCATTTTCAGGTGGCGGTGGACAGTTTAATTACCCTATTTTCGTGTGTGTAGGCATTCGAGTCTCGGCTCAAAAATGGCATTCACGTCTTGGTCATCCTACCTCGTCTAATGTCAAGTTTTTAACGCTAGTAAACAAAATTTTCAAGAAGCAAATGGGCAAGACTATGAAGGTCTACGTGGACAATATGCTAGTCAAAGCTCCCCAGCGAGCAGACCACATCATCTACATAAAGTATCAACATGATGATCTTCCTATCCTTGAACACACGAGAGCACAGGAAACAATCCGATTCACATCTTCTATACCTAATCCGCAACATATAGGTGTCAAAGCGTTTGTACCACTGTCTTGGAGATTGCTTAAGCCCATATAATGACTTCTTCAACCTACAAACCAGATTTCCTTTACTTGCTTCAATGAAACCTTGAGGTTGACTCATATAGATGTCTTCCTCTAAGCCTCCATGAAGGAAGGTTGTATTCACATCCATTTGTTCCACCTCCACATCCCATTGTGCCACCATGGAGAGCAACAACCATATAGAAGTATGCTTTACAACCGGGGGAAATATTTCATCATAATCAACTCCTTCCTTTTGTAGGTACCCCTTGGCCACTGGACGAGCTTTGAATATAGTTGGCTCTTTCTCATGTATCCCTTCCTTCTTTCTAAATATCCACTTGCAGCCGACACCTTCTGATCTTTGGGTTTAGGAACCAACTTCCATACAGAGTTCTGGTGTAGAGATTCTATCTCATCCATCATAGCACCTATCCAACTTTTCGCTCTGAACTCTCAATTGCTTCTTAGAACGTGGTTGGATCTTCTTCACTCATGCTTAAAGCATAGTGAACTACGTTTGTGTCCCATCCAAACCTTTGAAGAAGTTTGATTGTTCTCTTGGGCCTGGATCTAGCTATAGATGACGGCTCCACCTCATCTTGAGCCTCTTTTTCTTCTTCATCTTAAGTGTCGGACTCCACCACCTCATGAACATCTTCAATTGGCTGCATTCTTAGAGTATCCCAGAACACTCCGTGGTGAAATATTAACAGCTATCTTCATGCTAACAACATCATCATTCGCCTCCGGTTTCTTGATTTTAATCATAAGCATGGTCTTCTCATCAAACACTACATCCTACTGAGCATTTTCTTCGAATTAACTAGAACCCATAACTTGAAAACTTTCACACCGCTCTCAAAGCCTAGGAAAATGCACTCAAGAGAGTTTAGTTTCAACTTAGTTTTCTCATCACTGGGTATGAGAGAATAAACGTTGCATCCAAATACTTTAAAATTAGTATACTCAATAGATTTATTTGACCATACCTCTTCCGCACACTTGAAATCAAGATACTTCGATGGCGACCCGTTAACCAAAGAGGAAGCGTGGTAAACCGCCCCCATCTAAAACACCTCGAGCAAGCCAGCATGAATCCTCATGCACCTCTCACGCTCCATGAGAGTTCTAGTCCTCCTCTCTGCGGCTCCATTTTGTTGGGGCATCTTCCTCACTGTAAAATGCCTCTTGACACCCTCGCTCTTGCAAAACTCCAAAAAATCGCTATCTTTATATTCTCCTCCATTATCACTTCTTAAGATCTTGATCTTTCTTCCCGTAAGGTTCTCTACTTCCGCCTTCCACTCCTTGAATTTGGTGAAGACCTCATATTTCTCCTCCATGAAATAGACCCAAACCTTCCTAGAAAAATCATCCAAGAATATGATGTAGTAGCGAGCTCCACCCAATGACTTAACCAATGCGGGGCCCCATACATCCAAGTGAATATAATCAAGCAATCTCGTGGTCTTATTCTCTTTGTCTTGTTGCTTGAATGTCACTTGCGACTGCTTCCCCATGGTACAATACTTGAAGAACTTGATATTGCAATTGTGTACTCCTTTTAGAAGCTTACCTCCCATGGCTTTGTAGGAATAACCATTTTTGTCAAAAGTATTGAGGGAGATGAGATTCTTCTTCAATTTTGGTATGTACCTAACCATACCCAATGTCCTAACCACGCCGTCATACATCTTCACCTTGATTATACTTGTTCCTTTGACTCTACAAACCAAGCCATTCCCCATTACAACTTTTTTCACCTCATATGTGTCAAACCAAGATTTGTTTGAACACATATGATATGATCACCAGGAATCCAAAATCCAATATGAAGATGAAACCCTAGAAGATATAGCAAGTGCATCAGTAGTAATAATGATATCAATAAATAAAAGCTCACCATCATTGTTTTCCACGATCCTGGCTTCATCTGGCTTCTCCCTTTCATTTCTCTTCTCTCTCAATATAGGACAATTCTTCTTCCAATGATCTTTTGATTAGCACTCAAAGCAACCATCTTTTGCCTCAGATTTTGACCTTCCCCTATTGTTCTTCTTGCCTTCGCGCTTACTCTATCAACACCTCTATCCAACCTTCACCATAAGACTTTTTGTGAAGTGAAGAGAATATTTCTAAGGAAATCAGAACCATATACATTAAGAAGCTTCAACATGGGCTCACTTAAAGATGCAAAAGTAGTGAAGGAAATGGACGGTCAAAAGAGTTGCAGTCATTTTGATTGGGCTCTGTCGCTTGAGCTAAAGCTGTAGGAAAATAAGACGCAATTGTTTTGATTGTTTATACCCTATATGATCAATGAGAAGATCACACATGGAAAATAAGACACAATCGGTAAGGGAGTGTTCGACACCCTTTACTGCCGAACGCAACACAAGACCTCTTACCCATCCTTTCTTGCTGGGACAAGTGGAGCCACCACGGGCAATATCAACAGTCCTACATCGAAGTTTCACTCAAAATCCACACCTCCCAAGACTTATAAATTAGGGCATAAGTGCCAAAAAGGAGGTAATAGAGACTTTTGGCAATTCAGCCATTACTTTGTCCAGATTACTACACACTCCGTACTTATTCTTACTTAAGTATCGGAGAGCCTTCGGCCGGTACCACACCGGTGCCCAAGGGCTTATCGAGCGTTTTTTATCTTGCAGATTGATCGCTCTACCGGAGCCGAGAAGGTGACGAAGGTCAAAACATCACTAAGTTGGGCCCAAAAGTGCTGAACCATTTTTTAGCATCAACATCTGTCATAGTTGGCTGGAATCTCATTTGGATTGGTAGCTACCATTTTTGTTGCTGGTAAAGCTTAAATTTATAGTGGATATCAGACTAAATACATATGACTCATATCAGAAGTGTATATTTTTGCAAAGAATATAACTTTGCAATAAGCACAAGACATAAAAAAGAAGTCCAAATATTCCCAATACACTTTTGCAATGAGCAGGCCAAGACATATATCAATGTTAATTACTTTGACATATGTCCTGCATCAGGCATGTACAAACAATCCACTTTTGTTGGCAAACATGATTTAACAATTGCATGAACATTATTGCCTAACCACAACAAAGAGATTTTATGAAAATTTAAAGAAGAGGCTGATAAATATTTGTTCGGGCCTGTACTGCTCCTCTATCTCCAAGTTCAAAGCTCAAAATGAGTCAAGGCAGAGGTCCCATCAAGGCCTTTGTCATTGAAGTGGGCATTATATTCCCTTATAGTTGTCTCCCTGTACTTTGGAAGGTTGTCTTCTGACAATAGTTCTTTGATAGGTCCATAGAGTCTCCCCAATGGTTGCATACCTGTGGTAAAGAAACTTGCAACCGATACTCTTGGACCTACACGGTTCGCCAGTACCCTGTGCTCTACGCTCTTGAATCTTTCATTTCATATAAGCTGCAACAACCCCAAAAGAACTCAACCGTTGAAAAAAAATTAAAAATAAATATAAAAAAAACCCAAATGAGGAAACCAGATGGAAGAATTTCAGACATATTCTAGTAAAATAATAGTATATACTACTACAGCCTACTCCCTTTTAAGAAGTATAAATAACATCTCCCTTTCAATTAAAGGAAAAAAAAAATGAAGAAGAAGAAGAATAGTTGTACTTGCCTGTAGAAGATCTCCAATGTTAACTACTACAGCCCCAGGAACAGGAGGTCCATCAATCCACTTGTTCTGATGAAGAACTTGGAGACCGCCAATATGATCTTGCAGAAGGACTGTGATAAAGTCA